TGAAACACCAAGAACAGAAACCTGAAATAGAATTTTGCTGATTTTTTTTTTTTTTTTTGAAATAAACTTGAATTTGTCCGTTCTGCATGATATGGTACCGGGTTCCTTTTCAAGTTGTTTATTTCATGCCTTTTTCCCTCCTTTTTCCTTTTGGCATTTTTCAGCCCCTGAAAAGCAGATGACTGTTGATACAGTACCAGCAGTAGGACCTTTACCTCATCCAAGCAGCACTCGATTTCTGACATATGAAGAACTTAAACAAGCAACAAACAACTTTGAACCTGCAAGCATACTCGGAGAGGGTGGTTTTGGCAAGGTGTTCAAGGGTGTCTTAAGTGATGGTACAGCTGTAGCAATTAAAAGACTTACCAATGGAGGGCAACAGGGCGATAAGGAGTTCTTGGTTGAGGTTGAAATGCTGAGCAGGCTGCATCATCGTAATCTGGTGAAACTTGTGGGTTACTATAGCAGTCGTGACTCTTCACAAAACTTACTTTGCTATGAGCTTGTACCAAATGGAAGCTTGGAGGCCTGGCTCCATGGTAATTTCTCGGATCACATGTTGCCATGTGCCATCTAAAGTTTACTGTTTCTTTTAAATTTATGCATTTAATTTTTTAGTTTTGGGGGTAGCAGTTCAAAATGGAAACATTTTACATCTTAATCATACTTTTTCTTTACCATATGCACTACTGATACCTCTCACTCACTCCCCATCTCAGGTCCCCTGGGAGTAAATTGTCCTTTGGATTGGGACACCCGAATGAAAATTGCACTTGATGCTGCCAGAGGACTTGCTTACCTGCATGAGGACTCACAACCTTGTGTCATCCACAGAGATTTTAAAGCATCTAATATATTGCTTGAGAACAACTTTCATGCTAAAGTTGCTGATTTTGGCCTGGCTAAACAGGCTCCTGAAGGCAGAGCAAACTATCTTTCAACTCGTGTGATGGGAACATTCGGGTTGGTTTCGATTTCTCCCCTCCTTAACCTTGTCATTTCTACCATCTGGAATGCACTAAGATGTAAACTATTTGATTTTACAGGTATGTGGCTCCAGAGTACGCCATGACTGGACACCTACTTGTTAAAAGTGATGTTTACAGTTATGGGGTTGTCCTTCTTGAGTTACTCACTGGAAGAAAGCCTGTAGATATGTCACAGCCAGCCGGACAGGAGAATCTTGTCACTTGGGTTAGTATTATTCATGCATTGCCCCCCTCATTCTAATGTTTCAAAATGACCATTTATCTTGATCGGATTTAACGTAACAACATACTATTCTTTAGGGAAAAGAAAGAGCAGAAAAAATAAGCGATAAATGCGTAACCTTTTTCTCATGTGCAAAATGATACTCAATTGGTATTTTTCCATTATAATGTCGGAATGGAAAGTGAGATGTGTGGGTTTTCTGTTCCAGTCAAGGCCAATTCTTAGAGACAAGGATAGGCTGGATGAGCTTGCTGATCCAAGTCTTGAAGGAAAGTACCCGACGGAAGACTTTGTACGAGTTTGCACGATTGCAGCGGCTTGTGTTGCTCCTGAGGCAAGCCAACGCCCTACGATGGGTGAAGTGGTACAATCACTGAAGATGGTGCAACGGATCACAGAATACCAGGATTCCATGTTAACCTCTTCCACTACCAGACCCAATAACAGGCAGTCTTCAACTACCTACGAATCCGATGTGTCATCTTCAATGTTCTCTTCTGGTCCTTACTCTGGTCTAAGTGGCTTTGATAATGACAACGTCTCTCGAGCAGCAGTGTTCTCTGAAGATCTTCACGAAGGACGATGATTACTTTAACAGAAGTCTACGTTCTGTTCAAAGTACTCTAAACTTTCCGGTATAGCAACTTAGGAGCGGTCCCCTGTTGATTTTTTATGGGTCAGGTGGTGTAATTGTGATTTTTGTTGCGGGGAAGGGGCGAGTGTCTTTTTACAGTCCTTGTGTGGGGAAACCGCTGTCCAATATTCCTCTGGGCAGCGGTTCCCGGCACGATGGATGAAATTTTGTATATTCCTTGTAAGCTTGTTTCATGAAATTGGGGTTCAAAGTTTCGTGTTTATTTATTTACCTCGTCTTTCAAATTCATGTTCTCTCATGCACTCGTTCAAAACTACGCATATGCAGCAACACCCACTTGCCACATTTTTTATATCACATCTCTAATAGAAGTAGGGTTGACCAACACATGTGGATCACATATCTATTGGAGAGATAGTATAAATAGGGATGTGATATCCACACACCATTTTTTACTTCTTACACACTCCTCTAATTTTTGGCCGTCAGATCGGATGAATTGAAGAAAATCAACGAACATAAATTAACAAAGGGTGTGTGAAAAGGAAAATAAGGTGTGTGGATAACACATCCCGTATAAATATGGTAAGGGTAACATTCCTCTTATTAATTAGAGTTTGACGTTTTAATCCACTAAATTAAAGAACTAAAAATGATATTCTTACCACATATTTGTATCATCTCTACAATAGAAATGAGACTCACATGTGTTGGTGTACCCTACCTATATTAGTGAGATGTACATATATGTTGTCAGTGTAGCATTATTCTTAAAAGAACAAAAAATACTACTCTTACCAAACATTTATATCACCTCTCCAATAGAAATAAGATCTATTTGGAGTTGTAAAAATTATTATCACTATATAAATTTCTTAAATTTAAAAAAATAATAAAAATAGTTTCAAATCCTTACATTTTATTTAAAAATCACCTATCAACTTTATTTAATGATAAAAACAAAATAATAATTAAAAAAGAAATCCAACTTGCACTGGGGCACGTACCCCCCCCCCCTCTTTCTTCCCTTTTTCTTAAAATATGAAAAATACTTCAAATTGAATTACATTCTCCAATTTTATTTTTGTGGTGTTGTTTCCCAATAGCAGTTATGATGACGAGAAACATTTCAATGTGCTCGAAACACAGGGTGGTACATTATACAAGTTGTGAGATTCTAGTGTTAAAAAATTAATAACATAAAAAATAAAATTTTCATCCTTTACATAATAACATGTGGTATAAAATTTGTGTTACGGGCACAAGGGAAAATTTCTCTAAGATGACTCCCAAGCTAAAGAAATTGGATGGAGAGCTACATTTATTATAGTAGGTATGTAAAAAATGTGGCAAAATTTTAATTTGGTAATACAACTTTTTAAATATAATTATTGAGAACATAATTTTCTCAAGGTTTTGATCTAAATAATCACTTCTAGGTTCATCGTTTTCGGCACAATGGGTGCTTTTACAGGACCAAAAAGGGTCTAAGTTTTAAACTTTATGAAACTGAACCAAGAATTAAACAACGAATAAGTAGACACTATTCATGAAACCAAACCAATAAGTAGACACTAATTATGAAACTGGACCAGTAAGCAGACACTATTTATGAAACGAAAACAAGAATTAGGCATTATTTCCAAAACTAAACCAATAGGTGGAAACTATTTATGAAACTGGACTATACACTATTTGTGAAACTGGAGTAAGAATTAGACAATATTTATGAAACATAACCAAGAATTAGGCACTATTCATTAAAGTGAACCAATAACTAGATACTATTTATGAAACCGAACCAAGAAAGAGACACTATTTATAAAACAGTACCAATTACTGTACATTATTTATGAAATTGGATCCAATAACTAGGCAATATTTTATGAAACATGACTAAGAACTAGACATTATTTATGAAAGTGGACAAAAAACTAGGCTCTATTTATGAATTTGGACCAATAAATCCGTTCAGTTTCATAAATAATGCAATTTTGTAAATAGTGTTCAGTTTCATAAATAGTGTTCAGTTTTATAAATAATGTTAAGTTTCATAAACAGTGCCCAGTTTCATAAACAGTGTACAGATCCTACGTGTTAGGTTTTTTTTTTTAATTGTGTCCTTTTCAGTAAAATTTATTTATTTTTGTCCATTTTATTAAAACTTAAGGGTTTTTTATTAAAATTTAATTCTTTTTCATTAAATAAAGTTATAGCATGATTTTTGGTTAAAATAAATTTAGCACAACCCATTTTCATAAAACTTTCCTTTTTTAACTCATTAAAGAATCGAGATTGGATGGTGATTGCAAATAAGAAATATACTTCAAATGAAATAGTCATGACCGGCATGCTTGACCACGACCATATAGACCAAGCAAGCCAAAGTCTAATCAATGTGATCGCCGGTCACCAAGGAGAGTACGAAACACGCTGTCTATATGTTACTATCATGGTCTAAAATATCCATAATATCCTGATATTTTCATCGAAATTTCCGTGTTTTTGGACTACCGATATTTTTTTGAACTACCGATATTTCCGATATCATCAATATTTTAGACCTTGCTAAGTCACTCATGTATCTTACCATGCAATGTATAAAGTGTAAAATATTGTACTAATTCATTATATATAAATGATTATGGTGTGCTTAAACTTCTTTCATTAATTACTACATATTTTCTATACTCACAATGTTTGCCAGCTCGCTATATAATCAACTTAAATCAGTTATATCTATCATTAATTACTACATATTTTCTATACTCACAATGTTTGCCAGCTCGCTATATAATCAACTTAAATCAGTTATATCTATCATGCAATGCATTTCCTTCCAATTTTTTGTGATAAACTAATAGATAATTGACTAAATAAACATCCTTCAAAGTTTCAATAAAAATTTTCAAGTTTTTCTTACAATTTCCATGGTTTTTATTCAATTTTTATCGATATCGATAATATCCCGATATTTCCATCGAAATTTCCGTGTTTTTGAACTATCGATATTTCCGAAATCATCGATATTTTATACATTGGTTACTATATAAGTAGATAGATATTTTATAATAGAAAAATAGGAATAATATTTAAATATGACTTACCATCCTGAATTATTTTTCAAAAAATTCACAATTGTTGCCGGGTCAAGGAACATTTTTCTTTTTCCAATCAAGATGGCGAACAATATCAAACTTGAATTATATAAAAATTTATTTGAGAATAAGATTCAACTTTAAAACGTATAAAATTATAAGATTCCAGTCACATATGACAAACCACAAGTTATACGACAATTTCTGTCACCAACACTTGCATGTAATTTTGCTAATATCATAAGCATATAGTCCAACGTTGTCCGGCAAAGCCCAAGCTTCCAACGTCACGTTGTTCATCAAGCCACGCACCTGCCCAATAAATTAACCGCCGAAATTTAGAATCTCTTGAATTATAATATTAGAATCTTTGCAATTTTTAGTCAACTTTATGGAACATATGGAAAACTCGGCCAACTTGCGATTTTTTTACTCTCCTCTCTTTTTTTTTTTTAAATTTTTTTATTCTCTTTGTTGGGTAGTTTCTCTTACATCCTATTCGTCGTCAGCGACGCCGGCGGCGGCGGAGGAGAAGATAAGGAAGACAGCGCAATCCCTCTGGCAATCTCCCTCAGCAAAAACTTCTGAATCTTTCCGGTGGAAGTCTTGGGAAGCTCGTCCTTAAACACCACCGTTTTGGGCACCATGAAGTGCGGCAGCTTCTTCCGGCAAAACTCCATGATCTCCTTCTCCGTCGGCTTTGGAGTGACGTCACTCTTCAAGCTCACGAACGCGCACGGCGTCTCCCCCCAAAACTCGTCGGGCCTCGCCACGACCGCCGCCTCGTTGACAGCTGGGTTCGCATACAGCACTGACTCGACCTCCACGCTGCTCATGTTCTCACCTCCGCTTATGATAATGTCCTTGGATCTGTCCTTGATTTCCAAATAGCCATCGGGATGCATTACACCCACGTCACCGGTATAAAACCAGCCGTCTTTCATACAATTGGCAGTTCCCGATGGGTCCTTCAAATACCCGAGCATCACGCACCCGCCTCTCAGAACTATCTCCCCGACTTCAGACCCGTCTCGCTTCACTCCCAAACCCGAATCCGGATTCACGGCGTCCGCCTCCGTCATCCCGATCGTCATCACTCCCTGCCTCGCTTTCAGCCTCGCCTGCTCCATCGCCGGGAGTTTGTTCCACTCCGGCTTCCATGCACACGACAGCACGACCCCCGCAGTCTCCGTCATCCCGAAGCCGTGACCCACCACGAACCCGATCGACTCGGCCCGGAGCAAAACGCTCGAAGGAGGCGGAGCCCCACCGGTGAGAATGTTAACTGGATTTCGGAGTGGGTCGGATCTCCGGGTGTTGACGAGCATGTTGAGGACGACGGGGGCGGCGCACATGTGGGTGACGCCGTGGGCTTCGATTAAGTCGTAGATTTTTGGGCCGTCGAATTTGCGGACGCAAATGTTGGTGCCGCCGACGGCGGCCATGGCCCAAGGGAAGCACCACCCGTTTGCGTGGAACATCGGTAGGGTCCACAGATAGACGCAGTTTTTAGGCACGGACCAGTCCACCAGGGAACTCAAGGCCACGATGTAAATTGCCCTGTGGCAATGCACGACCCCCTTCGGAGAGGACGTCGTTCCGGACGTGTAGTTTAAGACGATAGGGTCCCATTCGGAAACGGGCCGGACCCACTTAAACAGCGGATCTCCCCTTCCCACTAGATTCTCGTACGTGTCTATGAAATGATCGATGCCTGGGATTGACTCGTCGTCCGGATGATCGGTGATGAGGACGAGTTGTGGACGAGGGAGCTGTGGTGGGAAGAGGGAGAGGGCTTCCAGGACCAGAGAGGCAAGGAGGTGGTCGACAAAGACGAGTTTTGATTCACTGTGGCGGAGGATGACGGAGACGGTGCGGGCATCGAGACGGGTGTTGATGTTGTTGAGGATGGCTCCCGCCATGGGGACAGCAAAGTGGACCTCGTACAAGGCGGGGGTGTTGGGGCAGATTATAGAGACGACTTGAGAGCGTTTGATGCCTAGGTGGGATGAGAGGGAGGAGGCCAGCTGGAGACATCGGCGGTGGGTTTGGGACCACGTGTAGGTGGTGGTGGTATAGACGACGGAGGGGCAGTCGCCATAGACGACAGCTGCCCTTTCTAGCAGGGTGAGGGGAGTGAGAGGGCAGAGATTTGCAGGACTTGGTTTGAGCTGCTCCATTTCTAGTTTAACGTAATTAACTGACGATGACACAGAGAGAGAGAGAGAGAGAGAGAGAGAGAGAGTGGGTGTGTGAGGGTGGTGCTGGTTATATACTTTTATATATGTAGAGATAACGTAAGCTTGTTGGTGTTGCATGGTGTTGGACAAGTGGACCGTGTTGTGATTATGTGAACCGTGAAGAATTGCGATAAAAAACAAGAGAGATTTTACAAATATGTCTCTATATAAGTAGAGGGATATTTGAAAAAGAATTTTTTTTTCTTACTTATATATATATAATAATATACTGCATACTGTTTTGTGTTCTGACACATTGAAAAATAAAAATTGATGTACAGTTTTAAATAGTTGAGAGTATACGATTTGAAGCAATGTTTCATCCTCAATGATCACCTATTCAGTTCAGTAACATCATATTAGTAAAAGGAGAAAAAAATATTGAATTAACATGAGAAGAAATTGTTAGAGCTTTTACAATGAAGAGATGCAAATTTGAGATATATAAGTTTATTTATAAATCATTTTATAATTTTAAAATATGCAAAAGTAAATTTATAAGTAAGAGATCTAATGATATTCATGTGAGATGTCTTAAGCTCGTTTATTGTCAAAAGAATTTGCCATTATTAAGTCCACCACTCCATCTCTTACTGCAAACAATATCGCTTGTTCAAAAAAAAAAAATTTATTCTAATCGGAGAAATGTAAATTTGAAATCTCATTTATTTTTTATGCCTTTATTTTATATATATTTAGAGCTCTTCCGTTAGAATTTTCATCCAACAAAAAAAATATAAAATGTATATTGCAAAGTATTTTGTATTATTCATTGAAGATGCTCTTATTTGCAGTTGACGAATACAATGATGACTACTTTCGAGTTTAAAGCACTCTTGTAATAGTTTTGATAGTCTTTTTCATCCAAAGTATACGCTTGAAATCAATAGTTTATCATTCATTATTTACTAGCACATGGACACATAAAAAGTATGTGAGATATTTTTTTATTTTTGTTTTTGAAATAGAAGGAGAGAGGAAGGAAGTGATAGAGAACATGGAAGTGGGAAGTCTTTTTTTTTTTTTTAATTAGAGATATGTTAGGATTATATGTAGGTGAGGCTTTGAAAAAAAAAAAAGCAAAATTTAGTTGTGTGAAATTATATTTTTATCCCATATTGCTTATTCATGTTCTGTTTTAATTAGAGGGTTAAACTGATAATTTTATAGAATTTTGATTAACAATAAATATTTTATTAATTAGTAGAGATATAGAAAAATACAAAGGCACCAAATCAATATGATCCAATTTAATGCCCTGCAGGCCATTTCCCTGTTATCTCAGAATCTCACGTACGCTTAACCCCCTCCCCCTCCCAACATAACAAGATCATCTTCGGATTCTTTTGTGAAGATTCTAAAAACTCGTAAATTATGTCCATTCATCGTATACAACGAGTATTTGGATTATTTCTCCTCTTCTCTGCCATTAACAAATGATTCCTGGTCTCTCAAAAGGTACAATCTAGAAAGCATATTCATGCAATGTATACAACCGCAGCCTGTACAAATCTTTAATGTACTCTACTCTGTACAAGCAAAAAAGCCTGCGCAACACGGTGGGTTTTTAAACTTTGGTAAATGTGTGGGACTTGTAAAAAAATTATTTACCTTCATATCAAAATCTATTTACATCCCTATGTTTTTTTTTTTGGTGAACTCCTTATGTTCTATAAAGAACAAATGATATGTAAAAATTATCTTATTAACATCCACGTAATTATAATACACATAAAATATTTTGTTTTCTATGTCTCAACTTTTTACATTGTTGTTCAGTACTTCACACTCTTCTTTCCTTTTGCTATCAAAGAGACGCTTTTCTTGTACCATGCATAGAATTTTTAGAAATGGATCAAAACTAACATGCGATATAGAACTTCTGTGTTTCACTTGCTTATTGATTGGGTTACAATCTCAGCTTGAGAAAAGCATTCTACAATCTGAAAAAACATAGTTAAGAGAAGAAAGAAGCTCATTACTTCGCTTTCATTACCGATTGTGAATTTACTCAAAATACCAAGTGGATGAAAATGTATTAATTCATGAACTGTAGGAAAGGAAACAACAAATGCAAAGGTTAGAAATCACCACTTGAAATGTCTAGCAATTTTCGGAGTTTTTCCCGAGTAGGTGTGCATGTTACTCTGCATCAGTCACTCCATCGAGCATTATGAATTCAATGAAGAATTTTTGTTGACTGCAGAATTAGATAAAAGGGCAAGAGTGATATTCTCTAGGAGTGTAAAACGACAGTTAAAGTTTCATCGCAAAGAAATTATTATTACTTTAGTCTAAACAAGGCTTTTCAATTGCACTGTACAAATGAACAGTGTTTTAAACCACATTTCAGTTTATTTACAAGATTGCCACTCGGATGCTTTTAACCACCTTTCACTTAATTTACAAAATTGCCACTCAAGCTTAAAAACCTATTTTCAGCCGTTGGCTGCATTTGACGTTTGAATCGGCGAGAGAGAGGGGAGGGGGACATCACGCCTGACAAATTGGAGAGAGACAATCGCTCCCATTTTTTACTCGGAGACAGCTGGGTGTGCCTCTGGCGAGCGGAGAGAGGGGGATAGAGCGACTACAGAGGAGGGAGACACAGAGCCTGACAGATTGGAGAGAGATGGGAGCTACGAGTTTGGACGGAGTGAGAGAGATATTTAGGTAGGTGCTTTGCCAGGCTCTCTCGGCCGCTAATCTTGATGCACACGTGTTGATGATCGTGGGAAGGGAAGAACGATGGTAAAGCTGGCCCTTTCCATTTCCTTCTCAAACCCTCATTGCCTCTTCCGTCTCGCAGACCCTGCGAGAACGACGGTCTCTCCTCCATCCTATCCTCCAGTCGCCGCCGTCTCCCTTCTCTAGGTAGGGTGTTGTGCGTGTGCGGTCATGCTTGATGATCGTGGAAGCCAGCGATTCAACTTCTACGACATAGCCTCGACTCTGCTTCCATCTCCATTTTCTCTCCTCGCCTTCTCTCTCAGAAATCACCAACGAGCTTAAAAACCACCAAGTCGTTAGAAATCTCTTCGATTCTCTCTCAGAATCTACGAAGCACAACGACCTTGTGCTGAAAAACCGTGAATTTAGTCCCACTTCGAAGGAAATTTTAAGCCCATAAAAGCCTTGGTTTCCTGGTGAGTTCTCCAGCCGATTTGGAGTAGGTAATTTTATGATTTGCAGTTTATTTTGGGAAATGATTGACGGGTTTGCAATTCATTTTACCATTTCTAGAATATTTGCAGTTTATTTTGGGGGTTTACACTAAAATTGAGGAAGCATATATGAACGCAAAGGCTCGAGGATGTACGACAACTTGGATATGATAGGGTACAAGCTATGACATTTCTGTAAATTCAGTTTATTTTTTCTTTTCATTTTAGGGGTTTTTTTTAACTGTTTAGTTTTTGGGTTTTGTCTAATTTTTGTGGTCTGCTTTATGGATTGTTCTCTTTGGAAGCTTCTTTCCAGCCTTGAGCTTCTTCTTGCCAAAAGAGTGTTGGATTGATTTTTCCTCCTCAAATCAAGGGTTGGTGTCGGGATTGAGGGGTGGGTCCAAAATGGGTATGGTTCTGAGGGAAAGAGGGATGGCAGAGACAGAGGTCATGGAGTTGGGCGTGGGAATTCCAAAAATCAAGGGCTGCTGTCAGTGGGTGTTAATATCAGCAATGAGCATGATTGGGATGTGAGTTCTCTCAACCTTTTGATTAATTTTTTATATTTTGGCTTTTTATATAAGACATGTAGCAGCTGAGATTCAAGGCTTCGCTTTCTTTCTCAAGTGTTTCATCAAGGAAGAAGATGGTCAGTTAGTTCTCTATTTTTCAAAAAAAAAAAAAAAATCATCATTTGAAGAATTTTGGGAAAGTTTTGAGATTTTGAGCTTATGATTCATATTTTGTAAACCAAATGAACCCAAGATCCGGATTCCGAAATCTTCAGGACCTGTAGAAAAGGAATATGCCATTGAGATTATTCTTAGTGCGTGCTGAAACAGAATCTCAACAAGACATTACGCTGTTGATTTAATAATCAACTATAGTATTGTGGTCTGAATTCTTTCTTATTAAATTCAGCTGGTATTTTACCCATATTAAGATCTGTATGTGCATCATTTGTTTTTGAGGTCTCTAATCCCATTGTGTTCGAATATGACAAACAAGAACTACAAAGGCAGCTAAGAATATCCAGCCATCGATTAGCGGTTGAAGAATTAATTGGTCGTAGATCTTGGATTTGTAGTGTTTTCATTTCGGAAACATGTGAGACTTTATGCATCATGTATATCTGTGCAATTTTATATCCCTTATATATTTACGGAGCTGTGGCAAAGCTTCTCATAGTCGTCAAGATGGTAAAGGTTTAAAATTGTCTAATTTTATTCACATGTGTATTCTTTTTCATGTGTATAAGCAAATGTACATGCATAGGCATGGTGTGTGCGTGTTTCTTCTTTGCTTTACTTTTATTTTTATTGAGATTTGGTCAATATTAAATTCAAATTGATATTTTAGACTTTACTCCTTTTCGTAACCCAACATGTAAAGGGTTAATTCTATTTTTAGGTTGCAGGAAAATACGGTGTATAATCTTGGGAGTGCTTTCGATTCTACTCTCATCTCTAATATGAATATAGGTTACAACCCTGCCCTGTGTAATCCAGAAGCTAAAATCACACCCTCTCAATCTAAACTTCATCGTAGATGTACTCTATTTCCCTCTTAATTGCTTCTTAGGGCTTCCCTGTTTTGATTTCATCCAATTTGTTAAATTTATTGTTAATTTCAGGGTACTACCATTTTTCTGCTGACTTTGATTCCACACTTCAGAAAGGTATGCCTCTAATTTATGATAAATTTTGCCAATTTGCTTCTTGATTTGGAAAGGTATGACTCCAATTACTTTGTTTTCCAAAGCCATCATAGCATCTGCATCCTCAGTTGTAGAACAAAAGCTAATCCAATTGCTAATCTTAGCATCTGCATCACCAATTCACCATTATCTTTTGATTTTGAGTGCCTTTATCGAATAGAGGGCAACTACACAGTTTTATATCTTCGATATACAAATATCAACGCTGATTTCTTTTGTTTACTAAATACATGCATAATCTGTGGTTCGTTTGCACTTTGATATATGTCAAAACTTATAATAAAGGTACTGGGACGTTGTTTGGAACAGAGTTGGAGGTGACGATGTGGTGGAAAAGTAAGTCCTCTTACTTTCCTCTCTAGCACATAATACATAATCTTTCCAACTTTGACTAGAATTATATCCACAACTCATTTGCTGGCTACAAGAACTGAATATAGAGTAGTGGTTTAATAATGGTTTTAGAATGTAAATGATCGCAGAAGCAACATGGAATTCAATAGTTGATATTTTGACTATAATTACTTTTTGACACTAACGACTTGCCACTGGTAGCTTCTTAAGCGGAAGATCCTATTCAATTCCTTATCTCATTGTTGGATTTGCCATTCAATTCCTTATCTTACTTTTGTATTTTTCATGGAGTTTGGGTGCACAATTACAAGGAGAGAAAGAGAGGGTGGGTGCAGTCATTTTCTCTTTCTATATCTTTCCTTTCCCAATTTGCGTCTCTGGTTGTTGGCGTTCGTCTTCCTCCTCAAGGTAAGGACTTTTCAATCAATTTCTGAAGATTTAATATGGGTTTTATTGTTTTAGTTCGAACATTCACGGATCTATGAGCAATAGTTTCAGATCTAATGGTTTTGTTTTCGAATTTTCCTAGCTGTGTAGTTCACCATTTTTTTTGCTTCTGAATCTGAAAAATAGATTGAATTTTTTATATTTTTTTATTGTTGTAGACATAACCCAAAATTTATTTTTTCATTTCGTGAATTGGGTTTGGTTGTTGTACATTTCTCTCTCTGCATCTACAGAACGTTGTTCTACCATGCCTGGGTTTCGAAGTTCCAAATCCAATTTAACGCTTCATCAACTCCACTTAAAGTTTCCTGCATCTCTCTCTCCTCAAATTCTTGGCCAAATAATTTTATAAGCTTCAGGGAAATGATGCTAAAAGTGCTTAAGCTTATCTATCTGTTTATTTATTTTAACTTTTGTTTTAGTTGTTTTTAGAATGAGTACAATTGAATTGCTTGCCTGATTATTTGGTAAAAGTGCTTTTCTGCGAATAATCATTTGTTAAATGTGCTTTTCTGTGAATAATCATTTGTTAGATATGCTTTTGCATTTGAAGATTGACATTCATGTTGCAAGAATTAAGTTGTGATAGATTATTCTGTAGTCCAATTGCGAATGTGTTGATGAAGAGCTGGAACATGTATACACCTGCTTTTAACAACTCTGATTGTTAGGGTTTTTTGGTTTGTTAATTTGGTATTTTTCCTAAATCTTCACTTTTAGGTTGAGGAGAAAATTGCAAGTTTTTAGGTGTAAATTGTATAGATTTTTTGTCAATTTTATTCTTCATTCTGAAATTTGTGTAATTGGTTGGCTCAAATCTTTATATGGATTGCTTTGTGTGATTGGTTGACTCAAATTTTTCATATTCCTTTGTATGTATTAATTTGTGTAATTGGTTGGCTCAAATCTTTATTTGATCTAACTATTCCAATTTGGCTAATTTGGTTTAATTTTTGTTTAGGTTTGATTATATTGGGGTTGAATTCTAAAGTGAGGGTGTGGGGGAATAAGGGTGCAAGGGAATAAGGGTGCAGGATGTGCGCGTAGGGTGCAGGGGTTTCAGGGGTGGTAGGGGGTGGGGTGCGCCTGTGAATTGCGGAGCTGCTCAGCTCTTCCTCTATAAGATGAGTTTCATCCCTGCCTTAATTCACTTAAATCCTGTGATTTCATGCCTTTTTTTGTTCTGATTCTGAGAGCATGTTTCAGATGGTGGTTTAAATTTTTGCTTTGTTCTGCCTCTAGACAGCCGCCACCACCACTTTGTCCAAATCTGATGGCTCAGGCTGTAGCATCTGCGTGAATCTCCCCGTACAATTGGACTCCGCAATGTTTTCCAAATAAACTCCAAACTCCGAAGGTGCAGCTGAAAAGTTAGAATCTGAGGCAATCAAATCCAATCCAGGGAAGAGATTGGATAGCTTCTGAGGTGTGGCTATGATCTGCTCCGACAATTCCAAATGGAGATGATACTGAAGAAGATTGTAAGTCAAGCCTAATCACTAAATACATTAGTAATTTTAGTGACTGGTCTAAGAAGAAGACATTGAAATAATGATAAGAATATGGTAATTCACAAATGATTAGGATTGTGTGAATGTTAGTTTAAAATGAAGTTTCTGTGTCAGAATTAAAAGAACTATGCACGGTGGATTTTTATAGGTGTCATGAAATTTTTATACCAGTTTTATTTTATGGGAATTAAGTGCAGAGCGGTTTGGGATATCTGTGCAGCTCACATAAGAAGAGAATTACAACTCTCGGGCTGAGAGGTAACTGGGATTTGTTCTTCTGGGTCAGTTTTTAAGGTTAGGGTTTTTTTTCGCGTTTGGTTGTTCTGGCAAGTTTTGTTGTAGTGTGTGTGTGTGTGTGTGTCCATCATCATGTCATTGGAATCATATGTTTGAATTTGGATTTGGAATGGTTTTTCTGATGTTTGTATTTTTTGTATATTATAATTCAGTGCAGGTTTGCATTGGATATAGGATAGTCATGGATTGGTTTAAAGCTTGGCTAATGATAGTTTCAAATCTTGATCATACGATTGTAGGTTCTGTAAATGGTTTTGTCATCGTAGGTTCTGTAATTTGAATAATATAAATTAGGGTTTTTCGTTTAGTGTCCAATTAGTGAAGAAAGGATGATTCTTTTTGTTACCATGCATATTTAAGCTGTAAACATCTGAAAAGCTGCTTAATTGAAGTGAAATTTCCAATTTTTGAGCCCGATTTTGAGTCTTGAACTTTGAATTTGTCTATATGTAGATCAGCTGAAGCTATCTATGTAGTAGTTTACAATATTTGTATTGGTAATTATGTGTTTAAGTTGCGCAACTTGAATTGCCCCAATATCTTTTGTGTGCAATTTGGTTTAGAAATGTGGGTTTTGATGTTTTGGCAGGCATTGGAAAAAAAAATAGAAATTGGTTTTCGCTCAATGTGTAGTTAAATCTTAAAATACGGTTTATTAAATTGGGTTCATGAATTATGGGTGGTAGCAAATTAGTGACGTCGACTCTTGTAAGGAAGAGGTTGATGAGAGACTTCAAGAAGCTGCAACAGTATGCAAAAAGGCTGTTGATTCTGCTGGTTTTTTTCTGTAATCGATTTAGGAGTTCCTGTTGTATTCTTAAGCATAACGTCTGACTGCCAATGACATATTCTATTGCTTTCTACAGCTGCCAATGCCTAAACCTCCAACAAAATGGAAACTTTTTCCAAAACAAAAGGTAAATCATTACTGCAGGAGCTGAACAGTACCTTTCCTCTGTTTTTTTTTTCTTTCTTCTTCCCCCTTCAAGGCTTTGTTTTGGTTCTCATATGTGGCCATTTGGTCATTGAGAAATGTAGTTGGATTTAAGATTTTGAGAAATTGGGCCATCTCTAGGAAAATTTCAGAATTTGGGATTGGACCTGTCAAGTTGTTATAAGAAAAGTCATAGGTATCCACGGACATGGTTGCTATCCGTTTGAATTTTGTTACAATAGTTTCCCTTGAGCATAATGGTTGCACTGAATTTGTTTTTTGATGATTCAATTTTGGGTTTGAAAAAATGCTCCCAGGTTGAACAAAAATATCTCCAGGATCCCCATTTTTTTAATGGCGCTGTTAAGGTAAATTTTCTTTATCCCTATTGCAGAGTAATTTTTGATGGATTATGTCTTCTAAGTAGTATACAAGCCGGACATTGTATCTTTGAGAAAGTTTATGGTGTATAGTTTCTGCATAAGTTTATTCTGGGAGTGGTATAGAACCATATATGGAGCTTCGTGGTGCATGCACTGGAAATTTTATGATTTAGGATTTTTTCGATTTCCTCCCTTTAGTTGTTTTATGTATGGTGAATGAATTGAATTTGGAAGGAAGGCAACTCAATGGTTGTCTTTTTCTTTTTTATTTATTGCAAGAATGCTACTAGAAGAATGGCAGATTTTAACTATGACTGTCATTGAAGATTTATCTTGAATCTGGACAGGTTTTTGTCAATTGTTATTTACAAAGGTTGTGACTCTTCGTGCTGGCACCAAAATAAAGTTTGTAGAAGGTTGTTTACTGACGATAAAAGGTAGCTTGCAATTTTTATTTTAATGAATCTTATTAAATGCATTTGAGTATCACAAAAATTTTCTCAATTATTTTAGCTATTAGGAAAATCACTCCACTAAAACTGTTATTCATTTACATTAACAACTTTTATTTTTCCAAATTGTAACAGAGAAGCATGCATATCATGAAAAATAAAAGACGGAAGTTCTGAAGTGACGACCAGGAAAGTTTAGAAGTCTAATATAACTGTAAACAAGAATGTAAATCCGGGATGAAAAATGTTAATGTAATTATGATTCTGGATGACTCATTTGCGAATTTTATCTTAATTTGAATAATTTTTTATCTAGGTGTACAGTTACATATGTGATTTGTTGTTTATGTGGTGAAAAAATAAGATGGCTTTATATTTTTTTATGAGACTTAATTTTGAGTTTTGAATTTGAGTTCTCATGCAAGAATTCACTTGAGTTTTGAGTTCCCATATGTTTTCATTGTTTCATTTATACATCTGTTGGAGGATTGGAGGGGATTGGGAGGCAGATGAGTGAGACTTCTGATGGATACACAGAAATAAATGGTCTCTCACATCTTGAACCAAATTACTCTGGGTTTTTGGCAGGTATGAATGATTCCAGCCTTTTTTTTTTTTTAATAGATGAGCTATGCTTTCCATATCAATCAGAATATTCTGTTATTAGAAGCAATTACATAAAGTTAGGCCAACTAAAATGGCTGGACAGAAAAAATGTCCTAATTGTTCACTCTAATGATGTTGGCAAGTAACGTTGATTGTTATAAACGTTGGCGGTCCTTCTGTTTTTCACAATGTAAGCCCAAGATTATACGATGGTACTCAATTTGGATTTGTTGCTTCTTCTATTTCTCAAGGAAACAGAACTTTTTTGGAAACCATCTCTTTCTAATCAAAGACGTTCAATTTCTTCCCACTCATTGTACAATGTGTTTATAATTGTGTTGAATTTATTCAAATTAAATGTGTTTTATTCATCCGATTACATCTGAAACAACATGTTCCCGCAGCAACGCGCGGGCATATTTTCTCGTATATACTAAAACTCAGTTGAGTTTTAGCACTGTTCAGAAATAGTAAAAGGGCGGATTTGCCCTTCATTAGCTATCCATTCTAAGCTTTTTATTGTGAGTTACACAGTTAAATTACTAATATACCACTCCTATACACGTGTTGCTCATCGTGTAAGGGAAGAGGGTTGGAAATGCAGGGGCTCTTTCATTTGCTTCCAGAACAGATTTTCTAGCTCTCCCCCCTCGCCACTTCCTCCACGACAACAACGCCTTCAGCCATTCTCCTTACACTGTGACAACTTCCTTGCCGATTCGAGCTGCTCGACCACCATCAACGCCTCCTCAACACGCTTTTCTGAATTGCTTTACATCGGCCTTCACCATTGGCATATACCTCGCGACCTCATCATCATGTACTCAAGGTATAGATTTGATGCTGACTGTCTACAGCTTTTCATTTGGGTTTTTTGAATTACAGGAAATTTGGTCTTCCTAAGATTTAATTGTTGTTAATTTTACGGTTTAATTGTTTTCCACTAATATGATTGAATGGTAAATTAGTTGTATATATATTCAAAACAGAAAAAATCTGAATCTATCGCTCTCGAACTCGCCTCAGCCGCAAGTTCAGCGTTGACCGTTATTTCTCCTCCTTGGCTTCTGTTTCTGTCTCTGACCCGTTCAACTTCAATTGAGCTTGAGTAAGCATTCCACGCTTGCCTTCTTTTACGTCCAAGGAATTTGCATTTTCATTGCTTGATGTAGGAGACACCATTTTTTTCCTCTAACTTTGTTTCTTCTAAAACTTAATGGATCTGATTTCAATCCTCTTGCTGAAGATTGAGAAACAGAAAGTTGGAGGACTGGATGATCAAGTATTAACCCATTTTAAAAGAAAAGGTTGTACCCAGTGCACAAGGCTCCCGCTTTACGCAGGGTTTGGGAGAGGTGAATGTCGGCTAGCCTTACCCCCATTTATGGAGAGGCTGCTCCCAAGTCTCGAACCCGAGACCTACCGCTCATGGGCGAAGGCACTTGCCATTGCACCAAGTGCGACCTCATTTTAAAAGAAAAGGTAAACCATGAAATTCCCAAAGTGATATCCCATGGCCTACAACTATTTCCTTATCAATCAAATCATTATTGGAAGCCTACTCGGAGTCTCCATCTCTTGGAAGGTAATTCTTTAGTTGGTATTAATTTTTGTGAATTATTTGATATGGGCCTTTGTTTATTTGTGGAGTTAGATACTTATTTATTGAAATTTTTTCTTTATTGTTGATTTTAGGAATTGATTGATAGGTTTGGTTTCTGGATTCTCTTTCTTTGTTGAATTTTTGATGTGGGTTTTGTTTATTGACTGCAGTGTTGTATTAACTTGCGTTTTGTTTATTGATTGTAGAGTTGTATTAATTTGCGTTTGATTGGAAGGGTTGCAGAGATTTGATTCAAATTGGTGGATTTGGGTAAGAAAGAAACCTAAATCTTTTCTTTCGGTTTTAAGAGCTGAATGGACATGCTCTGTTTGAAATAAGCGTTTAGATTTACAAAATTTTCTTAACATGCATGCTTCAATGGTAGAATAGAATGGACAGAACATGTACAGTGGCTAGCTTTTAGATCTTCATTTTCGGTTAAATAGTTATTTTCTTATATATCTAATGGTAGAAGAGAATGTATATATCTCATTGGTTATAATGGTAGAAGAGAACGGACATATACCATCGGCTATAATTTATATACACAAGATTTTCTTATCATCCTTTTGAACGTTTTGCAAGAGAATGAATATATAGCAGAATGGATAGTTGTAGTGGAGGGTCAACTTTAATAATTGTTAATCCCATTGGCTATATTATCTGGTAGAAACACTATCAAATGTACATGCAGAGTCTGTTGCTGTAGGAGGAGATTGGAAAGGCATTCCTTAGCAAAATTGTTTGTATAATTGGGCAGATACATGAACCTTTTTTAAATATAGCCTTTTGTCGAATGAGCTTTCCAATTTATGATGGAGTTAGATTGGTTTAGTAAGCTATTCTCAGAGCTGTGACAGCAATATGCATCAGTGGAGTGGAATTCTGCTCTTCTTGAACATTTCATGCTTTATGGTCTTTGTACTTTGGTTGATAACTCTTCACAACTATTGTTCTTCTCTTTAGTTTTCTTCAGAGATAGGGTCCGCGTTAGTGTAATTAGAGTCACTCAACTGCATTTCATTCGTTAGTGTATTCCGCGTTACTTCTGATCATCAATTTTGGAGTTGATTTTTTTATTTAGATGGGTGATTGAAAAAGGAAGTTTTTATATTCAGAATGACTCACAATTTGCTATGAACTAAATGAGTTTTTCTTTATACAGGTCAACATGACTGAACATATTAGCAGACTTGCAGTCATTGCATACATGGAATACAAGGAGGTTTGCAATTGAGCTTTGGTTTTAGTGACTTCTTAAATTTGGTCATGACTAAACCCTTTTTTTTTTAACTCTACTTAAATCGTTTTCGGGGAACCAGTCATTTGTGTTGTTTCTTCTCTCAACTCTTCGCTTTTAGTTGTCTAACTGTTGGAGTATGGATCTTGATTGAATTGATTGTTTTAATCTAAACTATTGGTAGTGATCTTTTATTTAATTTATCATATTATTGAAAGAATCGCTTAGTACAATCAGGTTTTAAAAAAAACTTAATATCATTACTGTTTTGGATTGTGTAGTGTTGAGTAGTAGTTGTTGATTCCGCTGTGCATTTTGATCAAATCCTTGATCACGTTCTCCGTTACAGTTTGTTTGTTGAGAATATGGATCTTGATTGAATTGATTGTTTTAATCTAGACCATTTGATACAATTTCCAATCTCACAGCAACTCGCGGGCATAAATCTCTAGTGAAAGCTAAAAAATGTATTAAACGCATGAGGTGTAATAAAACTTTACAGTGAAACTCTTGAACTGAGTTTTAGTATATATAGAATTTATTTAACAACGTAACAAACCACAATTATCTACTGCACATTTACAATTGATTTGATCATTTTATACAATCGAAACACAAGGTGATAAAAACTCAACTGCATCTTCTTATCCTCCTCCCAAGTTCAAAACTTCTTTGCTAGCTTCTCTATTCCATCGTTATCTATTATTTACCATCTTGTCCTCAGTTTGTAAACTTATTGTAGCTTCACATTCCACCAATATTTTTGGTTCCGTTTTTGGCAATCGAATTCTTTTTTTTACCAGGGTTGAAGTTCAAAAGAATTTTTGAAAATAGAGCTCTGGTGTTTAGAGAACTCGGCGACCCATCATCGACGACGATCCATCATCGACGACCCATCATCGACGACGATCCACGAGCACGAGGCTGAGAAAGGGGTTGAGTTCCTCCGGCGACGATCTACGACAGCATCGCTCCAGAACTCAAGCCATCTCGGATTCTTGTCTTTGTCGTTTCATTATTTGGATTATTGTTCTCCTTTACAAAATTCTTGGAATATTTTTTTGACCATTTTACTTAATGGGGTTTGGGTTTGATCAGTTTCATATATTGATTGCTATACATGCATCTGCTGCATAAGGAGAGGGAGAGAGACGATAGAGATATAACGTTGGTCTCTGCGTGTGGTTTGTCGACTAGCCAAACAAGCCAAAGTCGGTAACCCGTTGGCGGTGGGTGTCCTCTGAATTGGCGGTCACATAACTAAAACACGTGGAGTGGTAACTTCCCTATGTACACCGGTACCTCCCTCCCTCCTCATGAGAATTTTTTTATTGTGACTGAAACACGGATGGTACATCACGTACTTTTATATAAGTGGTGAAATTTTTTATTTTTTAAGATATTAACTTTTTAACACACATATCTTACAATTTGCATAGTAACACGTGGTGTACTACCCCGTGTTTCGGTCACACTGAAAAAATCTCTCCCTCCTAACTAACCCCCATTGTATTATTGTTAATACTAGCTTTTTTGGCACGCGCGCTCATGCACATGCAAAAGAGTTGCGTGTCAAAAATTGGTACTAGCAGAAATATCGATATGCAAATTTATAGAAATATCGACGGATATATCATGTCCCATCCCGAGGCTCAACTCCGTTGTAACACAATATTGTCCGCTTTGGGCTCATACCACGCCCTTACGATTTTGTTTCTGGGAACTCACACGAGAACTTCCCAGTGGGTCATCCATCATGGGATTGCTCTCGCGCGAACTTGCTTAACTTCGGAGTTCCTATGGAATCCAAAGCCAGTGAGTTCCCAAAATGCCTCGTGTTAGGTAGAGATGTGAATATACATATAAGGCTTACAGGATCCTCACCGCTGGGCGATGTGGGATCTTTCAATCCACCCCCTTAGGGGCCCGACGTCCTCGTCGGCATAATTCCGGCCAGAGATTGGCTCTGATACCAAATTGTCACATCCCGGGCTCGACTCTGCCGTAGCACGATATTGTCCGATTTGGGCCCCTACCACGCCCTTACTATTTTGTTTCTAGGAACTCACACGAGAACTTCCCAGTGGGTCATCCATCATGGGAACTCGCTTAACTTCGGAGTTCCTATGGAATCTAAAGCCAGTGAGTTCCCAAAAAGCCTCGTGCTAGGTAGATGAGAGAATATACATATAAAGCTTACATGATCCTCACCCATGGGCGATGTGAGATCTTACAATGTGGATATGTTGTTGTGCTAGTGTGCATAAATTTTAGGGACGGAATTTTCTAAGGGGGGCGGATTGTAAGATCCCACATCGCCCAGGGCTGAGGATCCTGTAAGCCTTATATGTATATTCTCATCTCTACCTAGCACGAGGTCTTTTGGGAACTCATTGGCTTCAGATTCCATAGGAACTCCGAAGTTAAGCGAGTTTGCGCTAGAGCAATCCCATGATGGGTGACCCATTGGGAAGTTCTCATGTGATTTCCCAGACCAATGATGGGTGACCTATTGAGAAGTTCTCGTGTGAGTTCCTAGAAACAAAATCGTGAGGACGTGGTCGGGGCTCAAAGCAGACAATGTAAGGATTGTCAAAAATTGGTATGGACAAAATATAAGAATTTCTACGATTTTAACAAATGTGTCAGAAATGTCGACGATAGTCGATTTTAACCTAAACTTGAAAGTTCATCTGATATGAGGTGAATTTTAGACTTCACTCCCAATTACATATCTTTCCCAGATTTGTTAGATATTTCCATAGAAATATTGATCATATCAAAGAAATTTTAAAGGAAAACTAATAAAAATGGCTTGAAAACTTTGAATTTTAACCAAAAACCATGTTATAAGTTTATTTAATGGTTAGGACAAATTCATAATCAAACAAGGCCAATAAAACTGGCCCAAGCAATGAGTTTCCAGTTTTGCCCTTGACAGCAAACCTTTGCCGTTTAATCACTCTCCACCATTCCGGAAGTTTTCGCCCAGTCTCTATTTCTCGATCTTTCTTTCTCCCTTTCTTGATCTCTCCATCTAATCTTGACCTCTTCTTTGCATAGAAACAATACCTCCATTTTTGCAATCGAATCGGATTGAATTTGTCTCTCTCCCTCTCAATCTAGTCTCTTTTTCGTTTTCAATTTAATTAGAATTCCACCATTTTTGAATCAATCGAATCGATCGAATCCGATAAGAACAAGCGAGCTTCAGCATCAGCACGTATGCATACCGCATATGGACTATTTAGATTTGATTGCATATGGACTGGCATGCATCATCAGATATGCATATACAAGCGAGGTTTCCACTGTTAAGATTTGCAGCTTGGTTAACATTTGATTTCATATGGATTTACTGTTGTAGCTATTAGCTAGAAAAACAATATGTGGAAAATATAAACTAAAGGTTTTAGTTTTTGGTGAATTATTTTCTAAAATTTTTGTAGTAGTTGAAGTTTTTGGCAATCATTGTTTTATATTTGAACTTATTATACAAAGACAAATTCGTACTACTACCATTGAAGGCTTGGAGTTTATTCTATGCAGTTTTTTGGAGTTTGAATGTGTCCCTTCATTTGTTTTTGTGTGTATTTTGGATGAATGTGGACAGACTTGTCATTTGCAGTTTTTGTATCTGCAGCACTAGAAGGACTCAAGGTTCATTTGGTTGAAAAAATGTGTAAAATAGCAAATTCGGGGTTGGATAAGAGAACTAGGTTGTTAATTTGGCAAAGTATCAGATATAAAATCATGATATTTCTTCATTTTCTTACCATACTGTTTATACCATATATTGGGCCTCGTATTTAGATCTCGTACAAATACTCGGGGGACTTAAATGTAATTATGTGATAAAGGAATGGGCAAATATGTAATAAGTGAGGAGTCCTTATTCTATAAAAGGACCCTTCACCCTCACAATTAAGGGAGACCAATTCTTAGGCCCTCTCACCCCCTTTCAAAGCTCTCACTCTCAGAGCTCTCTCTCCCTCAAATAAATACATAATCAATGTGGACGTAGCCCAAACCTTGGGGTGAACCATGATATATCTTGTGTTATTTACATTTCATGCAGATTCACGGTCGGATTTACGTTGTTCTAAGACCATCCGGTTTTGTGCATCAACATTTGGCGCCGTTTGCGGGAATCGACACAAAAAACTATGTCGGTTCTCTTTCATTTTTTTTCACCTCCACCGTGAATTTGCAGAAACCAAGAACCCAAAACTATTCAAGAAAACCCACGGAGCCACCTCCCCTCCCACTCAGTCTCTCTCTGCAACTGCAAGACAAAATACCACACAAAGTTTCGTTCTCCAATCATCTCTCTCTCTTTTGTGTTTGCTTGGCTGCGAGATGTGGACGACTCCACAAACAGTAACACCATAAAGTTGGTGGTTTTCTTAATCTGCATCATGGGGTTGCTATTAACGATTAACCCTACATCAGCAACTGGTGAGATGTATGAGCCAAACCTAAAGCAATCAACAACGACGGAGACATTTCATCCCGCTAGTCCGACGGAGTATAAGCTTTTCATTAATGGCGTGACTAAACCTAATCACGATACACAACGGCGGCGACTGGCTCCATATCAGTTGTGTTTGCCATGCAAGTGCTGCTCAGCCACCACCTGTATCTTCATGCCTTGCTGCTTTGGCATCGACTGCCAGCTCCCCAACAAACCTTTTGGAGTTTGTGCTTTTGTCCCCCAAGACTTGCAACTGCACTAATTGCACAAGTCAGCGTCTCTGTCTCGCGAGTCGTGGTCTAAATCGCCGTAACTTCCGACCAAGTCAGCTAAGCCATTAGACGACGTGAAATTTACGTAAGCATGGCGCGGCACCACCACAAACTAAGAATGGATTAAACGTGTTAGAAGCTGAGCTCGAGTTCGCGGCGTCTCTGTTGCGGCCTGATCTCATCATTAGCATCCTCCTTGCTGACAATTTCTTCGCATCATGACTTCTAGGAAATGTTGTCGCAGGGATCCATGCTTGTCGCAGGCGAGAAAGAGGAGAAGATCTGATGAGGAAATGAAGAGAGAGAGGACGGAAAGTCATTTATGTTGTGTCGGTTCTGTATGCCAAGGAAGGAGATTTAGTCCCTCTGTATGCCAACAAGGTCGGCCCGTTTTCACAACCCCAGTTCGGGATGCCAACTCGTCCCCGACCCACTGCTCAACTCAGCCCCCATTCGCTCATTTCGACTCACCCACTCACTCATTCAGCAAGTCAGAAATAGCAAACGAAGAGAC